TCTTCCATAGGACTTGTTTACTGGATTTTTGCTCTGAACAGGTACCTCCTGGTTTTAGGGTCCTCAGAGTCTCCCCAGCCACCATGAACATGGTATAACCCAGAAGAAGCAGCTCAGCTGCCTCTCTGAAATATAAACCTTGTATATTTCTCTATGCTGTGCATCTGAACAGGGGTTAGAGCTCTCTGCATGGAGTGTGCATGTTCTCCCTGTGTCTGCATGGGTTTTCACTGCTCCCACACTCCGAAGACCTGCAGGATACTGTAATCTAGTCCAGAGCGCAACAGTCTTTGCCACTGCCCTACTAAAAGTGTTGGCTTATTTTGAAAATGATACAACAAAAGTTTTTGTGTATTGCTAAAAACATAATTTTGACTTCTTAGTGTCACGGCCTAGTTCTTAGGCCATTACAAAGGAAAGGAAAGACACATGTTCAAACTGGGAAACCAAACAATCCTATGTATTTTAATTATTATTACAACAAAATATATAAACTCAATGTATGAAATGACAAGTGTTATATAGTGTAACCAAGGTGATAACCAACCAAACAAAAGGCATGTGGTGCAAGGATGAGAGCCAGTGATGGAGTGACAGAGGGATGAAATGAGTTTTTTCCAAACATAAAGAGATAATGTACAGTGTTCGTAAACATTTCCAGGCCTAGACAATAGCCATTCAGTTTTCACAATTTTTCCAAGATTTCCCTGGCGATGTCAGTCCAGATTGTCACTAATGACCACAAATTGCACCCTGTATTACAGTATTCCTCTCATGATAAAAAGGGTCTTTCACTGAAGACCCTGTATTGTTAGTAGTCAGTGTACTTGGTACTTTAACCTCTTCTACTGCAGCTGTTGTTTGTTATAGGATCTGGATAGGACCGAGGCTGAATGATAGTCTGGTTTGTACCTGCTGCTGTCGTCACTTCACTAATTAGTTGAATATCTTTGGCTTTTGGACTGTTGGTTGGACAAAACAAACAATAAGAAGATTTCACTCAGTAGAATTAGGCTTTGGATTGATCTCTAATTTTAGAAAATAATTAATTAATTCAGAATGAAAATAATTGTTACTTGCAGCACGCTAAAAACCTCATAGACCTTACTTTTCAGGTTTTGATATTATTAATTGAAATGGTAGTTACAAAGACTCAAGTTTCCCCATTGTGCTTCATTGGGTTCACTCATCAACGTGTTGATGTGTGATGTTCATTGCTGAAGTCCCAGGAGTTTTTGAACAATGACTTTAACATCTGAAGGAATGTATATTTTAAGATGGTGCAGCAACCAAGAAACTTTTTTGTAAAATTTTTAAGGACTCTGTGGCCTCCCTGCAGTGAAGATTTGATTAGAGTTGAGCATGTGCAGTTTTTCTTGACCCAGGTGAGTCAGGCCCTACGATGGACTGGCGACCTGTCCAGGGTGTACCCCGCCTTTTGCCCAATGACAGCTGGGATTGGCTCCAGCCCCCTGTGACCCTGTATGCAGGATAAGCAGTTGACAATGGATGGATGGATGGATGGATTGATTGATTGTTAATCTGTGTTTGAAGGTATCCAGATCAAAACTAAATGATCACCACAGCTTAATTAAATAATAACCACATTTCATTTTAAACCTTATTCTCAGCCAAACTCTACTGGTAATTCTCATCCATAATCTGTATTATTTGAAAAAAAATAGAATAAAGTCACACCTGACATTCTTCAGTATCTGTAAATCTGTAAAGATTTGCACAAGGATTGATTATGTAGATTGCTATCCATTATTGTTTAAATGTAGGTGTCCAAATAGTGCACCTTTTTCATGTTGGTCCCAGCCCCTGTTCATTTTCTGGCATAGTTCATTCATCCTGCAATACAACTGTGTTGCATTACTTCAAGGGATTTTATGAACTTACAACCACCTGTGTTTTCATTTAATTGCCTGTTTATTTTATATGACCACCCTGTCTTTTCTGGGCCTTCTCTGTTTACAGACACAACTGTGCAAATTCTTTCTTCCTCTGACCATAAACCAGTCAAATAAAATTGTTTCTAGATATGATACAGTATGGTAGATTTTGTACTGTATGTACTCAAAATTTTGACATGGTGGTGGTTCTAGAAGTAAAGTAAATGTCCCAATGGGGACATGAATGGCTGTACTAAATTTCATGGCAATCCATCCAATAATTGTTCAGATATTTCAATCTGAACGATGGTGGTTTATAGAGTATATGATTATATGATTAGCATACTAGCTAAACTATAGGTCTATGTCGTAACTGAAGCTACCTTTAGCATTGAGACTGGTTTATTTTTTAAATGAGCATGCTAGTTAGTTAACTGGCTAACTCGAGCAGCACAGACACTGAAGGTAAAGAAAGTTCTCTGCGTCACAATCTGTAAACAAATCTACCTGATCAGACTTTTAGTGAGCACAGTTTGATAAATTCATCTGCCAATATTGCACCTCACCTTAGCCCATCAAACTATGCAACCTCCTCTTCAAAACAAGGACAGTGCGTTGATAGCCGTCTGCCATCCCTGAATGAAAAGTCACTGCTGTTAAACAAGTTTGGGTTCTCCCTCAGAAGCTACAGCACAGAGCAAAAAGATCTTAAAGTCTAAAATATATTTTTGTTCATAGATAAATGCATCCAAATCACTGACATCTTGTAATTTTGACAGTTGAATTGTCTGTTCTCCAAGCTCAGTCTCTTCTTGTGGCAGAACACATGATACAGATAATGGTAGTTTTTATGTGTGAAATGGAGTTAATGGGTGACTGGGTTAACATATTAATCAAAAATATTAATTGAGAAAATAACTGGCCAATTTATACAGAATAAAAATAATTATAACTTGCAACCCTACTGCAGGCTAATCAAATCAAAATGGCAGTTACAAGACTGACCTTCAACTTTCCCCATTGTGCTTCATTGGGTTCACTCTTTGGTCATGATGTTCATTGCTAAATCCCAGGAGTTGGTGAACAATTACTTTATCATCCCAAATCCCACAGCAATCTGTTGCTTAACTAGTAGCAAAAATGTATACTTTAATATGGTGCAGCAACCAAGAAACGTTCACAGGACTCTGTGACCTCCCTGCAGTGAAGACTTGAGAAGACTTGGGCATGTGCAGTTGAGTCTGGGTGTAAAAGTATCCAAATCAAACTGAAACTGAATGATCACCACAGCTAAATTAAATAATAACAATAATAAATTCATTTTAAACTTGGCTTTATTCTCAGCCAAACTCTACTTGTAATCCTCATTCATCATCTCTGCAGCTAGCAAAAAATAAAAAATAAAGTCACACCATTCTTCAGTATTCATTTGTAAAATTAAAATAGATGTACAAGGATTGATTATGTTTTTGCTATCCATTATTGTTTAAAAGTAGGTTTTCAAATAATCAACCTTTTTCATTTTGGTCTGCTGTAGTTCATTCACCCTGTGTTGCATTTCTTTTTTATGAACTTACAAACATAGTGTTTTCATTCAATTGCCTGTCTGTACTTCATATGTTTTTATCATATGGCCAGCTTATCAAACTCTTTCTTCCACCGACCATAAAACAGTCATTTATGATTATCTCAAGATATGATATAGATTGTGTACTGCAGAAACTCTGTGTCATCCCTGATTTAAAAGTCACTGTTGCTAAACAAGTTTAGGTTTTCCAAGAGTAGCTACAGTAAAGAGCTACAGGATCTTAAAGACTAAAAATATATCTGATATATATATATATATATATATATCCAAATCACTAATGTCTTGTAATTTTGACCGTTGTATTATAATGATAGTTTTTGTAGGATATGTGTGAATTGCTTCACTAGAGCCACATCAGCTGCAAACTTACAAAACAACGGGAAAGACTGGAGACACTACATCTCTATCTTGTTAACACAATACCCTGGCTTGTGTTTGACACTGTCAGGTAGTGGAAGTTTACAACATATAAGCTCATGTTACTCCTAAACAGGACAGACATAAACCATATCAGAGGATGTCATAAATGCTTAGAAACATTTTGTACTGCTATGGACATCTGCTTTCAGACACAGCCAGGTCATGTTGATGGTGACAGATTACAGAAAGAGAAAATGTTTTTCATCACATTGTAACATTTCATTGTGTTACAATGTTCTTCTCATCACTGTCTCATTGATTCGTGATTTCAAAAATGTAAGTTGAAAAGACTGATGATGAAACGTGAGTTGAGGAGAGTGGAAAACACAAACGTAGCTCATGAAATAACACGATCAGTTGTTGTTGAGCAAGCGCTATTGATTCTATTGATGTAAGTTGTTCAGTCGGCTTTGCTCTATCAGTGTTTTTGTCCCAGAAGGCTTGTAAACAGACACACAAACACAATGTTGTTTTCAACTGTCAAAAAATACCACATCTGACACTGTGGGACATGCACAGTGCATAATGTAGGTCACTAGTCAACCAATGACACAATGGAAACCAAGGTGAAATGTCCACTGCCTGGTGCACACTAGAGAACTTTCAAATCTTAACCAATTTTAAAAACTGCGGGATACCACAGAAATAATGACAGATAAACAGATTTAAATGTTTTAAATATTTTAATTGTTAGGACCATACACCAGATGATTCAGTCAAGACGCAGGCCCACATACACTTGGCGTTTACTAAATTATTTCAGAGTGGCAGTTTCAGGGAATTGGGATCTCACAGTAACTTGAGTGATCAAACGTGACTTGAGAAATAAAGCATGGAGACAGACTGTCCTCATCAACTGGTTGCACTTGTGTGTTGGTATTGTTTTCCATAGAAAAATCATTTACCCCTTATACATTTTATGTAAGTACACAACATACGATTGGTGACGCTTCCCGGTCAGTTCGCTCTCATTAGCTATTGTGGGTTTCTGCTCAAATTCAGTCACAGTTTGTTTGTTTTTCACACTAAAGGAAATAATCAGAGTCTTTCTGTCATAAAATTATGCCACAGCCGAGATGCAGACACAGAGACAAAGCAGCAGTTAAATAGTTTATTGGGTTTATTGAGGCAAAGCTAGCAAACTGTGGCAGGGTGTCTCCTTCCAAGCAGTTGGAAAATGAGGGCTGGCTGGCGTGGCTGGAAGGGTTGGATCTTGGCTCAAGAAGCTTGGAACTAGCAGGGTGGATGAGCAGGTTGAACAGGCGATCTGGAGACAGGTAGAGAGAAATTAGTTAAAGCAAACTGGTAACTTGACCAACAGGCTTAAAGCTAGTAAAGCGAACTGGTAACTTGACTAACAGGCTTAAAGCTGACTACTAAGGCTTGACCTACAGTACACGACTTAACAAACCAGCAGGGAATGGATGTCTGGCGTCTCCTTAAGAAGAGGTAGGGATAGCTGATCAGGAACAGGTGGGTGATTACCAGCAGGTGCAGCTTGTGGCAACCCAGGAAGCCAGCCCAAGATTCAAAAACTGAGAGAAGGGAGGGAAGAAAACCAGAACAAAAACACACCAAGCATGCCTCACTCACCCAAAGGAAAAAACAAATCAAAACACACTTACTCAGTCAAACTCAGGTGTCAGATGCAGGAGTTGTGACACTTCCCCATTTCGAATCATTAATATCAAACATGTTTTATACAGGTAGTGTTAAAATTATGTCTGAAAGCCCTTCACACTACAGGATAATATGGGCAGCTAATCTGTTTAGACCAGCCTTGGATCAGGAACATTCCCACAATTGTCCGGAGGGCGAATCTGACCCAAAATCAGCCCAGTTATCCTCTAATGCCAGCAGAAGTATCTTAAGGTACCTCTGATGGCTGCTAGACTCTGCCCCCCCAAAAGACTGCATTGGTTCAAGCTACACTGAACAAAATTATAAATGCAACATTTTTGTTTTTGCCCCCATTCATCATGAGCTGAACTCAAAGATCTAAGACTTTCTCTATGTACACAAAAGGCCTATTTCTCTCAAACATTATTCACAAATCTGTCAAATCTGTGTTAGTGAGCACTTCTCCTTTGCCGAGATAATCCATCCACCTCACAGGTGAGGCATATCAAGATGCTGATCAGACAGAATGGGCATTGCACAGGTGTGCCTTAGGTTGGTCACAATAAAAGGCCACTCAAACATTTGAAGTTTCACTGTATTGGGGAAGAACACCAAAATGTGTCTCACATTGTCTACAAAGCCTCTGGCGCTTAACTTCCCATTTGGGTCACAGAATGTGATAGGTCGCACATTTTGGTGTCACACCGGAAACCAGTCAGTAGGCTATCTGGTGTGACCACCATTTGCCTCACGCAGTGCAATACATCTCCTTTGCATAGAGTTGATCAGGTTGTTGATTGTGGCCTGTGGAATGTTGGTCCACTCCTATTCAATGGCTGTGCGAAGTTTCTGGGTATTGGCAGGACCTGGAACACGCTGTCGTATAAGCCGATCCAGAGCATCCCAAACATGCTCAATGGGTGACATGTCTGGTGAGTATGCTGGCCACGCAAGAACTGGGCCGGCATACTCACCGGACATGTCACCCATTGAGCATAAACTTTAAATCCCTAGGTGATAATTTTAATTTTGTAGCCCCCATATTATTTACCTAATTTTGGTTTTGACAATATTTTCTATGTTTCTCAAACTAAAAGAAGAGCTTACTTTTAATTACAACACACATTATTAAAGTGCAAATATTTTACTTTTGAAGCAAAAAAATAATAAAATTGTGCTCACCTCAGATTAGAGTGACCTTGACCACATGTGAACAGGAAGTTGAACATAGAATAAGAAGTCACACAAAATGGCTATTTGATTTTTGACATAGAGCCTCTAGTGTTGGAGTTATGAGCAGTGTGACAACTTACACATGAGACAACTTACCCCCCTATCCCCTATATAAATATAACAGAAAATAAGTCAGTGCACTTCTCAGGTATCATTCTGTGTTGCTTTCATACCTGTTTCCCCTGTAGATCAATGCATGTAATATCCATTCAAAAGGATAGAATGGAAAACTTGGCCAAAAAAAGAAACTGTGTCAAGAGGTTGTTAAAGTTACTGATTGATGCATGCACATAGCTTGTTTTTTTTTTTTTATCTTAGGTTACTTTTTTGGACAATGTAGATTTGTTTCTTCTATATTTTAGTTGCCCTGCATTTTTCTTAATGTACCAATAAACCTTTCTCATTGTCATTTTTTATTTAACTGCAAGCTATATTTCAGAATTTTAAAAAACAAATTATGCTTTAATAAAAGTGGTAGGGACAAAATCAGCCATTTCAAAAAGTGGTGGGGACATGTCCCCAGCGTCCCCAGTGTAAATGACACCTATGAACAAACATAACATGCAAATAAACATCACTTTTGTCCGTGATGTAGCAAAGGTATGTCTTTGTAATACTTTAACGTTTTTTTTGACAGAATAATCCCAATAGTGGCCAAATAAGTGTTTGCAGTTTATAGCGTAACCAGGCCTGACATTTACATTATTATAGAAGCCTGTTGTTGCACATGGAATATGTGTTTGGTAGGCCCATGTCTAATATCTTTGTTTATATTTGGAAAATGGAATGTAGCCTATAATTAACATGACTTACTGCTGAGTTATAAAATAAAGACATAATCTCTTTTGCAATTATCCTTATGACTCTACATTATTTAACGTGCTGTGTACTAACCAATTCAGTCCTTTTTACCTGTTGAAATACCTTTAAATGGCTGATACAACCCATGTAATGCAGTATTCCACTTCCAGAATGACTGTATGACTATAGCTGTTTTTATCTGTATCAAGTCATAGCATGCAAATAAATATACATATATACACATTATGTCTGTCATAATAATATGTCTTTGTGAAACTTTAACGTTTCTGGTAATGGAATAATTTCATGTGATCAAAGAATTGTTTGCAGTTTATAGCGTAATCAGGCATGACATTTACGCAATTATAGGCAATAACAGTCTCCTGTACTTTATGGGTTGTAGGCCTATTGCTAAACTAGTGAAAAGGACTGGATTGGTTGGCACGAAGTAGGTAAAATAATGCAGTGTCATAAGGATAATATATATATACTGTATATTAATATATAACCCAGACGTTAATCATGTTAGTTAGGCATTTTCCAAATGTGAACAAGGACATTAAACATAGGCCTACCAAACAATTGTTTCATCAGCAACAACAGGCTACTGTTGCCTAAAATCATGTCATTCCTGATTATGCTTTAAACTCTTCTTTGCCAAGATTGTGCACAAATTAAGCCCCCCAAAATATATAAAATTTAGTTTATTTATTTATTTTAAGTGTGCTTACATTAAAATGTAGATGTGCTTGAGCACCCATATCCAGCACAAATAATTTTAACTAAAACTACAGCTCTCCATACTTGTACATGTAAAGGCTAAATGAGTCTTTGGCTTGACACACACACACACACACACACACACACACACACACATTCCCATGGCTGACCTGTTACCACACAGGGGCGAGCCCCTGTCTGTCAGCCAATAAGAAGGAGGCCTGCCAAGTCACGCACAGGCCATGTCGAACACTGAACTTGCGTCGCTTAATGATGTGGGTCAAAGTTCAACAATAGCTACTGCAAGAGGACACAAGGTTTCCACACCAAGAGGACACAAGGTTTCCACACCAAGAGGACAGAGAGAGATGGACAGAAAGAATATTACAGAATTGTTTTTTTTAGCTTAAGTCAGGGCTCTTGGTATCTAAGCTTAAAGATGATTAACAATTAATAAATAATGAGACACTGAATTTGGTGTCACTACAGCCAATTTAGAGAACAAGTGTAAAAAACATGCAAATTAACCTTTCTTTTACACCTAAATATCCTAAAGCAAATTCCTGAAAAAGATGCATGATTTTAGTCAGAAAACATCAATCAAAATTAATTCACAATGAATTCAGCTGGCAAAACTAACTGTACACACTCAGACATTCTCACCCTAGTTTTTCCCTTTCAGGAATGAATGTGTCACAGAGAGAGACAGTGCCAGCAGTGGTGAGGACAAAGCTGTCTGTCTGTCTTTAGGATCAAAGCAAACTGGCAGCAATCAGTGTTCAGGTCGGAGGGAACCGGTTATGTGACGACGACTTTACGTCCTGCTGCTGATTAATGATTCATTGGGGGCCTGTGACACAGTGTTTTTCAGATCTGGAGGGAACAGGTCCATGCAAATAACCTAGAGGCCTCCCCCCATCCCTCCTCCTCCCCTCCCTCTGCTTGAGGGACATCCCAGGGTATAAAAAGAACGAACCCTCTCCACAGCAATTACAACTCAGCCAAGAAGGAGAAACAGTCCTCAACTTTCCTGAAAACAGCCAACAGAGAAGCCTCAACTGATGAGGCCAAGCTAAAGGCTCTGTGCTCCAAACAAGCTTCTCAAGGTAACCTGATGCTATTTCTTTTCAGTGCATTATGTGTGTAATGTCAGGAGGGTTACTAAGGGTATATGCAGAGCGAGAGGGGATCTGCACATGGATGCTGTTGCATCACCCAGACTTTCTTTGTCCTGGTGGTTGCAGTAGTTACTTGAAATTTCATGTAATGTGGGGAAAAAAAGAACTGGAACCAAGAAAATGGTTTCCTGAAGGACATATTTTAAATCTAAGACTAAATAAGACTTTATTATACTTTTTGAAAAATATTCATATATTTAAATATTCTCTTCCTCTTCTCTTTCCATTTTCTCTTCACTTTACCCCTCTTTCCTCTCTTTTCCACCCTCAAGTACAACCTTTCTCCACTCCTAGACTTCCTCTTGTCTGTTCTTTCTCTGTCTATCGGCTCACTCTCTCTCCAGACTCCTCCACCATGCCTCCTCAGCTTCAGTCCCAGAACCAGAGCAGTCCCAGGATCCTGCAGGGCGATCTCAGTACCCTCAGTCCGGCCGTGAAGGAGTTTGTAGATGCCAATGTGAGTCTGTGCCAGCCCGACTCCCTCCACATCTGTGACGGCTCAGACGAGGAAAACCGCGCCATCCTGACCCAGCTGGAGGAGCAAGGGATGATCAAGAAGCTCAACAAATATGAGAACTGGTAAGTTGGCTGGAGATTAAGTTGGTTTTTAGGTAGGTGTCAGGGATTAGGAGTTATATTTTCTGAAATGTTCTTCATTTTGTAAATAAAATACCTGGAAAGGTCTACGTTCTGACAGATCAGTAAGTTGTAACTTGTTCAGTCAGATCACTTGTCAAACGAACTTGACAGCAGTGCTTCAGGAGTGAGGTTAACATATAACTTTTGTTTGTGCATCCTTCAGCAAAGTGCGAAAGCCTCTTAGGCATATGGGCAATGTATTTTTAAACGTTAAAGTTGACAGAAAAAAATTCCAAAATGTGATCAAATTTGAATAAAAAAAGAAGCCCTAATATCTTCTTACTCCCTCCTCCTTCCCACTTCTGCCACTTACCTTCCATCCTTCTCCTCTCTTCCTTCTCTTCTACTTCCTCCCTTCATTCCATCTTTCCTCCTCTTGCAGCTGGTTGGCCAGGACTGACCCGAGGGACGTAGCTCGGGTTGAGAGTAAGACTGTTATTGTGACCCGGGACCAGAGGGACACGGTGCCCACATCGCTGGGGGGCGCAGTCAGCCAGCTGGGCCGCTGGATGCCCCCGGAAGAGTTTGACAAAGCCATGACTCAGCGGTTCCCTGGTTGCATGAAAGGTACCACAGAGAATACTACTTGTTAATTTAACCTTCGATTTTAACCAGACAGGGTGAAGGAATTAAAGACAAAATGAAAACACTGGAAGTTTAAAAAAAAATATTATTCTGAATACAAGTTTGGAGTATAACATTATAATATTATACTTATATGACAGGTAGACAAGTAATCTAGCACTGTGATCATTGTTTTGCGCTTGTAGTACAGTATGTGCAGTGAAATACGGATTCTACATAAAAACAGCATAATTAGGACAAGCTAATCCACCATCAAATACCATAAAGTTTCACAAAATAACATAACCCAGGCTTCAATTTGATGCAGGGGAATCCAGTGGAAGAATGAGTAATCTACCCAAGCTGAAGTATTGATAACTGATATATCTTACTTATGTAACATCAAAGTAAATTCAGTACTGTGAAATTAAGTAGTAAAAGCAGGAAGCTGGCAGCTCATTCAGAGCAAAAGTTACTTTTGGAAAAATTGTTGAATATAATTTTACAGCTTCAAGATTGTGTTCAAGCAAAACATGTAACATTTCAGAAAAAGTACACAAAGTCAGATGACTATTCATTGACTGACTCTGTTTTCTGATGCTTAGATATCTGAAAACATTTTTGTAGTGAAGAAAACAACTTCAATAAAACCTTAATTAAGCAACATTAAAATGCTGATATCTCTGACTCTCTGTCCTCAGGTCGTACCATGTATGTGATTCCCTTCAGTATGGGTCCAGTAGGTTCCCCCCTCTCTAAGATTGGCGTGGAGCTGACAGACTCTCCCTATGTGGTGGTCAGTATGAGGGTGATGACCCGGATGGGGAAGGATGTGCTGTCCGCTTTGGGGACGGGCGAGTTCGTCCGCTGTCTGCACTCCGTCGGCTGTCCTCTACCGCTCAAAAGTGAGTCAACATCAACTTGTTTTTACATCATAATTATTCAGCAGCACTATGGCAACGCTATCTACTACTGATGAAAAGGACTAGTGCCACTGTGGCATTTCTAGTTTTACCAATATTACTGCTGAATGATGCCTCCTTTATTCCTTCAGTTGGCCCAACTACAATTACTACTGCTACCCATACTACTATAACTACTAATACTGACTATGATGCAGTGATTACTGCTGCAACTACTGTTACTACTTGTATTACATATACAACTACAAATACTAATGCTACAATAATTATAATTAATGCATCAACTACTATTACTACTGCTGATACAGCTGTTGCTGCTTTAGGTATTACAACCAGCTAAACCACTTCTGCTACTGCTATTACTGATTATTATATTCAGTTATAATTTTGTTTTCTTCAGTCCTGCAAACACATGCTGATCACTGATTCCTCTTTCAGAGCCCCTGGTGAACAACTGGCCTTGTAACCCCGAGCAGACATTAATCGCCCACATCCCAGACCGCAGGCAGATCGTCTCATTCGGTAGTGGTTACGGAGGAAACTCCCTGCTGGGGAAGAAGTGCTTTGCTCTGCGCATTGCCTCACGTATCGCTAAGGAGGAGGGCTGGCTGGCAGAGCACATGCTGGTAAGAAATGAAAAGAAAGAAAGTGTAATTTAATTAAGGGATTTAGCCCACATATCCATACTGCATCATGCAGATTTTCCACAACAATCGATTCTTATCAAACCAAATGTTTCTCCTGCTCAGATCCTGGGCGTCACCAACCCTGCCGGGGAGAAGAAGTACATGGCAGCAGCCTTCCCCAGCGCCTGCGGGAAGACAAATCTGGCCATGCTCTGCCCGACGCTGCCGGGCTGGAAGGTTGAGTGTGTGGGAGACGACATCGCCTGGATGAAGTTTGACAACCAAGGTGAGGGACTCAAGACTTTGTGAGGTTCCATTTGCAATCAGGGACATTAAAATTGCAATAACAATACAAACATACAAACCTTCTGTTATTCCATCCATCGTCAACCGCTTATCCTGCGTAGAGGGTCGCGGGGCCTTCTATTGTTCATTATTTATATTTTCCTCCTCTTTGTTCCTTACCACTAGGCAACCTACGTGCCATCAACCCGGAGAATGGCTTTTTTGGAGTTGCGCCCGGCACCTCAGCCAAAACCAACCCCAATGCCATGAAGACCATCATCAAGAACACCGTTTTCACCAATGTTGCAGAGACTAGCGATGGCGGTGTGTACTGGGAGGGAATGGACCAGACGCTGCCTGAGGGAGTCACCATCACTTCCTGGAAGAACAAGCCCTGGAGCTCAGAAGATGGTAAGATGGTATTTAAGAACTTGCAATTATATTTTGTCACGTTTTTGGAAGAGAGTACTTTTGATATATAGGATGGTTATAAAAACAAGGATAATAAAACTAGAGAACATTACATACTTTAAGCTTTATTTGACCAGCTTGTCAAATAAAGCTTACCTTCTTACCATCTGTCTCTCCCCCCAGGCGAACCCTGTGCTCACCCCAACTCTCGTTTCTGCACTCCGGCCGGTCAGTGTCCCATCATCGACCCACTGTGGGAATCCCCAGAGGGAGTCCCTATTGAGGCCATCATCTTTGGAGGGCGCAGGCCAGAAGGTGAGCAGGAACTAGGAGGGAAACCTGGAAAATAGAACATTGGTAGAATGAGAGACAAGGATAGAGACAGTATGCAGTGGAATCAAATAAGTTAGAGAAGATAGCAGAAGGGGACAGAGGAGAAATGGAAGAAAATGCAATGACAAATGAGAAAATAATCAGCTAATCATAATCTATTTCATGACTCTGCTTCCGTTCAGGTGTCCCTCTAGTATATGAGGCTTTCAGCTGGCAGCATGGAGTGTTTGTTGGAGCAGCCATGAGGTCAGAGGCCACCGCTGCAGCTGAACACAAAGGTCAGAATCTAATCTTTCTAATGACAAGATACTTTTCTTTCAGTCTGACCACCATTCAATGGATTTGAAGGAGTTTCCTCAGCCTGAGGATCATTGCTTTTGCCTTATAATTTTCATATAGTGTATAGTTTTTAGTCTAGAAATCAGTTTAATCCATGTCACAAACACTGGATTTGTGAGATTTTTGGATGATAAACAAGGATGGATTTATGTCCAAGGAGATCAGAATGAAAATCAGGAAGAGCTTTATTGCCAACTAGTATTTTACAAGTACAAGGAATTTTCTTTGGTGATTAGGTGCTAGAAATAGACATAAACATACAGTTGACATAAATAAATGTAAAATATATACATATGGAATAAGATAACTAAAAAGATATTTAACATTCTCTTTGTCCCTCTTCTTTTCTGCAGGCAAGGTGATCATGCATGACCCCTTCGCCATGCGTCCCTTCTTTGGCTACAACTTTGGACAGTACCTCTCTCACTGGCTGAGTATGGCCGACCGCCCCGGCGCCAAGCTCCCCAAGATCTTTCACGTCAACTGGTTCCGCAAGAGCCCCACCGCCGGATTTCTCTGGCCCGGTTTCGGCGACAACATCCGCGTGCTTGACTGGATGTTCAGGCGGGTGAATGGCGAGGCCGGCGCCGTGCCCTCTGCTGTGGGCTACCTGCCTCACTGTGACTCTCTAAACCTCCAGGGCCTGCAGGAGGACGTGGACCTCAACGAGCTGTTCTCCCTGGATCAGGAGTTCTGGCAGAGGGAGGTGGATGAGGTGAGGAAGTACTTCACCACGCAGGTGAACGACGACCTGCCCAGTGAGGTGGCCCGGCAGCTGGAGCTCCTGCAGCAGCGAGTGAAGCAGATGTAAAGAGGAAAAACAGGAGGGGAAGAAAAGAAGTGTGTCCGAAATTCTGAGGGAACATGTTGGTAATCTAGAACCAACTTTTAGTAATTGTAGAATATCTCGTTCTTGTGCTGAAGAACACATATAAAGAATTCCTTTCTTTGAGGTGAAGCCTTACAACTTCCTGAAAGAGGAGCAATTCTCCTCTGATAATTCTTGTTTTTTTCATTAGCTAGAAATCCTCCCCCTTTTCGGATGATTATTCTGAAAATACTACTGTTAAAATTCCGCTGGGGGTGCTGAGATGAATAATATGAATTTGTAGGAATTGTTGAGTTTTTCACTGTGGTTTAAGTGAAATGTCATAAAAATGACAGCCAGAGGGCACCAGTCACAAATAAATCGGAAATCTTTCTTTTCCATCCCTTCACATGCTGTCGTAGCAGCACTATGTTTTCATATGTTTCCAATGTGTTGTCCTACTGTATGTCTGAATTATATTATTTAATAATAACTTATTATGAGCACCCATCATATCATCATTGCCATGTATGACACAGAAAAGTTTGCTGAGCTCCGGTGTTCTTTCCCCCACGAACACGTGGAAAAAGTATGTTTTCTGTTCCTATGGTTATTTTTTGCCTTAATTTATTTTTATACAATGTTAATATCTTATTGGTTGTGTTTCATTGTAATCTTGATCCCCCATAGTGGGGCGACAACAATAAAAGTATTTAAACTTATTATTGATTCTGTTTTGTTTTTTAGTATTTTTGATATTATAAAGCAGCACACTCACATATAGTCTATAGGGTTTTCAAAGTCTGAGACAGTGGGCCTCCTGTCAGACAAAGCTTAGAAAAAGGCACCCCTTCAGCCCCCCTTAGTTTACTTGGTTTATTTCGCTCAAGTCCTAGATGTCTAAGAGATCATGATTATCTTTTTTGACACTCAACAATTGAGCCAGTGTTTGACATAACATCAGACTACACCAAAAAACTAACGTATCTCCTAAGACATTTATTGCTGCTGACTCTGGAAAAGTGGGAAAGTCAGTTCCCCCAAACTTCACTGAACGATCTCTTTAACCAATCCCACACATTTAGGATATTCTATATGATCTCCTTTTGATAACTAATGTAATCATTTTTCACTGAGCTTCCCCTGGAGCAGTTTGGAGTCCCACATCCCACCTTGAAAAACTCTGGTCTAGATGCAACTCATTCTCCAGCAGTGAAAATAATAACAGAACATCCTGTTCAGTTATCGCCTCCTGTAAAAAGCATGTTAAAGAAATATTATTCAAATGTGCTGATGATAAAAGTTACTACCAGAAAACTACTATCTCTCCAGTCTAATACACTCAAAAAGTGTTCCTGTTTCTTAAATGACCGCGTAGGCAAGATAAATGCAGGTAAAGAAAGCAGCCAGCTTCATAAGGGATAACACTTTAATTGTGATTCAACGTGACGGGAGTATAAAGCAGTAGCAGACCCAGTTGTTTATTTTGCTAGTGGCTCTAACAAAGTTCTCTTTATGCTTCATCTTTTATTCACCCTTTTCACCCATTCTGGTTTCAGATGGGGAGAACTGAACCATTTAAGCTTACATAACAGTGTAAAACAACTGTGCCATCTGCTTTCATGTTAACTGTAGTGCAGTGTCTAAATAATAAAAATGTTATCCACCATAACAACAAACAGACAACTTAGTGACTAGCTAGTGAACAAAGTGGCGCAGCTAAAGAGTCAGATATTTTTCTAAGGAGCTGTTGGAGACCAAACCAGAACTAAAACGAGCAGACAAATCTGACCACAAACATGACTTCAAATGAATGCTAATTTTTCTGTGTACTGCTGGATATGTAAAGAAGCAACTGATTAAAGGTGGGTGGAACTTATATTAGGTTGCCAGACACCATGTTCTAATAAGATTAAAAAAGGTGTAATTTCAGTGTGGGAGATGTCAATCAAGCACAATCTTTAGACGCACACACGGTCTTGATAGGATGCCTAATCAGCCAAAACTAATTAAAATCACCGCCGTGGGTGCAATGCCTTGAATATCTGATCATCACTGTGCTTTTGGCTGTACTGGTTCTGTGAAAAGATACAATATACGGTACACGGGACATACAAACTCTTGTCTTTTGCCAGTTAAAGTAACTAATAATCTAATACAACATTGTTTTATAATGCACACAATACAATATAATAAACAATTAATTATATTGATTGATACAAAACCTCAGTGATTGAATCCTTATGTGTGCCATTAGCTGGGCTGTGGCTGTATAAGGACACATGTACTTGCCCCATGGTCACTGCAGCTGTTGTGTAAGATGTAAAGATGATGACGGTGACAGAAGTTAATCATCGCTAACTTGTTTTTGGGACTAGCTGTGATCTGAATCCTGTGCATTCATTTACTATACCGTATGGCTGTGGCCTTAGAATACAGCAGCCACAAACAACACAGTGAACTGTTAATCAGAAGCTAATCTCAGTTTGACCTTTACAGATTCATAATCAGTGCGACAGATTGCGCAGGAATTTATTGTGCATCATGTCCAACACATATCCATGTATGAAAAACAGGTTACCTGCATTAAAGGAAGATTGTAAAGTCTTTGCTTACCCATTTTTAATCACCAATATAAATTCATGTCCGATTGTGAAAGTCACACGAAAATAAAATGCCATTGCATTACGAATAGTTCCACCTGTTTCTAGAAATGAGAATCTATATCTTTAAACAAGAAATAATAAGAAAGATGATCTCACTTGAATTAAGAAAAATTTAATTTAATCTGACTTTGTAGAACACTGGATTTCAACAGTACCAAGAAAAGCTCTCATATATCACTTGCTCTTGGCAATGACCGTGCCTGTCCGATTGTGTTGTGTTGTTCTTGTTCTTCGAGACAATGATTTACTCTTTCTGTTCTGCCAACACCACGGAGCATCTGAATGTTCTTGTTTTTCAGCCGCCTTATCTGAGGAAATAATTACCTCACAAGCATGCAGACCCATACCTCTACTGCGTGTCTCAAACTGGTTGTTTTCGTGCACATTTTTATCTAACTTTTCTTAACTGTGCAGGTTATTTGCTTATCCATCCAAAACGTTTTCAGCAGATGCACCCATAGAGCTAACTGGAATAATTGGAGTGCTATAAGTTATATTACAGTAATACATCTAACTTGTTCTTTAACAAACTGGCTTGAAATAAACTGCCTCAGCTTTTACTACAATTATAAATATGTGAATAAAAATGCAATGTGATGATGACGTTTGTAAAGCAATGTGTTTTTAAATAGATTTCTTTCAAAACTATTCAGTCTTCTCTTAAACCTCTTATCCTCAATGTCTTGGGTTAAGATATTAATATGAAGACACTCAGTTTAGCACAGTAAATTAGAAAACAGACAGTTTCTTTTCTGTTTACTTGACAGATTCTCTCATTCTGAGGAAGTTGTTTGTCATTCTGAACATGAAGGGCAGCAGGCAGCTTCTTCTGAGGGAGGGAAAAAAGAGCTGATTTATGTAACGATGCTGACTCTGGAGTACTTATCAGCTGTAATATACTGATAAAGTACCACAGCTCTTATCAGGGTAAAGGTTTATTGTCTCCATTTTCAATGTTATACTGTTTCAGTTTATTGTTTCCTTTTCTCTTCTTTACTCTTTACTCTTTCCCTCTTCTCTCTCTCTCCCCTTCCATCCCTACCTCCTTGCTCCCTGCTTCCTTAATTCCTGTTTAGCCCAGCTCTTAACGACCTTTGGAACCAGCTCACTGTTCAGGTGATCAACATTGTTTAATCTCTTCATTCGAACATCAGATTTTTACTTTATTTGGCACCATATTTTCATCTCCTCTGCCAAATGAATCATTAAACACCCGGAGTGATGTTTGTCCAGCAGGCGACTGACAGACATTGGAGAGATCATAGTTTTTGTTTAGGTTATTCACCTGCTGATCATTGTGCACACTTTCAAATTGCTGTGATTATCTGTTGAGATGTTGGTCATACTGCCTGTCTTGCATGGATGACAACTGGTCACTGAAATGTCATGTTTTGGTTGAGTCAGTGAGATGGTCCATATCAGTTAACTCTTCTCCTCTTCTTAAAAGATTTGGATCAAATAAAATAAATCTAAATTATTATCTATTTCTAAACTGCTCACCAAATCTGATGACTTTTGAATCTATACTTTCCTCTTTAACTGACTACTGGACTTTCTGACCAAGGGACTCCAGTCTGTGAGGTCAGAAAACCACACTTCTTCGACCCTGATTCTGAACACAAGTCCCACAGGGCCTCTACAGCAACAATGATGAGACAGGACGAGGCAGCCTGGTCCTCATTAAGCATTTAAGGCATTTCTCATTTTCCAGAAAAGGTGAGATGAGCCTGAATGCTGATGGCTGCAGGCAAAATCCCATCTGCATCAGTGGAGCAAAGGTGGAGCAGGTTTGCACCAGTAAGAGAATTTCATAGAAATCTATCCAATCCAATCTATCTAGACATTTCACTTAAACCACAAATTTCATAGCAAACCATCAAAAAGTTGTTGATCTGTTTCAGTCTGGACCACAACTGCATAAACAAAGTGGATGTAACCACATTGATGTCATCCATTGGTTTGTGGACTACTGTTTTGAAGCCTTGAGTTTGGCTTTTTGGACGTCACCATGTTGTTTTTTGGGTACCAGAAGTGGCCATATTTGCAAAAGATAGTGGTGCTGGGGAGGGTTACACATCACTAAACCTGACAGGTTGCAGTGATAGTGACTTGTCAATCCAAAGTTAGCCACACCCTAAAGCAAACCCTGCTTCATCATCTATTTTACTCTAAATTTCCCCCTAATGTACAAATTAAACATCATGCTGTATTGAAGAAGACTTGAAACTAGCAGTTGAGACCATAAACCCATTAGAAAAGTGTTCACTGAGGTAATAAATCAGGTGAGAAGTAGGTACATTTATTCATTATATGTAATTAGACTTCTCTTTTCAACCAGTGGAGAAAGAATGCAGGTTTAAGGCACTTCTGCATTGGCTTCACTTTTCAGACCAGGAGGTTCACACCAAAGAAGCAAATAACATTGTCACATTGGGACATACAGTTTTCTCATGCTGGCTGAAACTGATCACTAGAGCTCCTTACCTGCCTCCCTGGCTGAGAGCTAAGTCTTCGGAGCTGCCTACAATCAGTCCTAACTAAAAGCAGGGTGTCTCAGAGCTGTTAATCACACAATACTGTGGAGCAAGATATGATATGTTTTTTCATTAACATAAACACACACACTGTAGTTTAACCTTCAGCTGCAGCGTGAACCGAGCCAGAGAAACTAACAGAAAGAACATGAAGGGAAGTTGTGCAATGAAAGGTGGACGGGCAGTAGCATCAAAGCTGAGGGCTTATCAGCTGTGTGTGTGTTCTTGCGTAGTGGACTACACAGCTGCAAGAGATGACATCACGGAGGGTCCGGTCGAACACTCACCCACAACTGGACGTCAGCAGTGATGCTGACGGGTTCAGGGCAATGATTGGTCTCAGCTGATAGGGAATTCCAGGTGTTATAGTGGGTTAACTAGGAAAATTGAGCAGTAAGGAAAGAAGGGATGAAGGAAAGGGTTTGTAACATCACTTGAATGATCCCTGAATGATCCATTTTAGCCCAAAATTTTTTCATAACCTCATTCATCATTCCATCTCCATTTTAAGAAACACAAGTGACTCTTGCAACTATTTCATCTCCTTTGCAAAGTGAGCCATAAAAGAATAAAAAAATGTAAATAGTGTTTGTCCAGCGGGCCGACTGCCTTCTTTGTGGCAAGACAGAGAGCCAGCTAGATAGTAGAGAGACAGGTAGCCTAAATAGTAGAGAGAAACAGACAGATAGATAGTAGAGTGAGTGGTTTATGAACTCTGTGTGGGACTTTACTCTGAGGTGAGAGCTGACGTAGAAACTTGGCAGGAAAATGAAAGTGTGTAATGCAGTTTCAAGTTGTTGAGCAATCAGAATCTGATCAATAAGTGGCTCAGATACATCTGACATGTGGGATGCCAGGTGATATAACACAATGACTGCTTTATCCCTCCCAAAAGCCTTTACCTCTTTATCTATCACCCTTCTTCCCTTCCTTGAATCCTTCATTTCAGACCTCTTATGTTCAAAAATTTCTTTTATTTTTCTGAATAGAAAAGATCCATCTTTAATGTTATTAGTGACACCACTGATTTTCCTTCTATGACAAGTCAATGTGTCTGCTGAGAAAAAGGACTGTGGCTGATAAAAACAGAAGTAGAATGAATTAAAGTCTGGAGTAAGAGTTTTTAAGTGCCATGAACATCACACTCCGCAAACTTCAGTCTATCTGCAGTTCCAGGATATGAGCCCTGACCAATTTAAACACCAATATAGACTATATCCGAAGTGGGAGCCCAACATGGACACCATCATCAAGAAGGCCCAGCAGAGGATGAACTTTCTGCCAGCTCAGGAAGCTCAACCTGCCTGAGGAGCTGCTGATCCACTTTTACACAACTATCATCCACTCTGTCCTCTGCACCTCCATCACTGTCTTGTTTGGATCTGCCACTAAAAAGGACAAGGACAGACTACAGTGGAGAGTCAGGACTGCAGAAAAGATCATCGGTGCCGTCCAGCTTCCCCCCTCTGGTAGGCGCTACAGAGCACTGTACACCAAAACCCACAGACTCAGGAACAGTTTCTTCCCACAAGCCATCACTCTGATGAACAGCTGACCTCTGACTCACATTGTCAGGAACCATTCCTGTGCAATAACCCAGTAAATCTGTCTCTAATCAGCTGTTCATACTGTTCATATTGTCGTTTTGTATATTGTATATACCGTATACCAAATCCATCTACCTCAAGTACTTAACAGCTGCACATAATACTTATTTATTCCAGCATCCTTTGCACTAAGCTCCATCACACTGTGTACATGTGTGTTTGTATGCATGTATGTGCACCTGTATATCACATCCACATGATAATAACAATAACAATAATGGTAATAATAATTTACTCCTGCATCCTTTGCAATCTTCTCATTGCACTGTTGCACCATTGTCTCAATCTGTCTCTTTTGTTTTGTTTATAGTGTATATATGTGTTCTCTATACTGTAGCAGGTTTTTGATTTTATTACTGTATTATTGTGTTATTGCATTTTTGTATGAGTAAGCACATCGTGAGCATTGTACAATCCAGAGTCAAATTCTTCATATGTGTACACATACCTGGCAATAAAGCTGATTCTGAATCTAAGTGAAGAGTGCCACCTGCTGGATGCTGACTGACATAAGAAGTACAGGTTGTTCATCAGTGGTGGTGGAGAAAGGGTCCTGATCATTTACTTAAGTAAAAGTAATAACACCACACTGTAAGAAATACTCCATTCTAAGTTAAAGTCCTGCATTGAAAATGGTGGTTAAGTAAAAGTATGTAAATATAATCATGAAAATCAAAAAGTACTCAATGAAAAAAAATGCCCCTGTGACTGTATATTATATATATATAATATATATTGTATATTAACAAATTTATTTTTTAGTTTGTAAAAATTCTGAGAATAGTGAGAAATACTGTCACAATTACCCAGACCCCAAAGTGACACCTTCACAAAGCTTGTTTTGATTATTTTTCAAATAAAAATAATTAAAAGGAAACATACGTGAAGCTGTTTATTATTACAGCTCTACTTTTTTAGTTATTTTCATATGTTTTGTATGCAACACTCTTCATTTGTACAGTAACGAGTAACTGCAGCTGTCAAATAAATGTGGTAAAATGATGAAATGATGAAATGATGAAAAAATAATGGGGTAAAAAGTACAATATTTCCCTGAATCGTATAAGTAGAAAGTTGTATGAGACCAAAATGCTCAAGTGAAGTACCTCAAATATGTACTTAAGTACACTACTTAAGATTAATGTACTTAGTTACATTCCAATACTAAAATTAAGTTACATTTACTTCGTTCTTTTTAAGGAAGATCAATTAAATTTTAGTGTATAAATGCATGAATATAAACATTTGTATGAGGGATTTTTTGCAAATTCAGTAGGAAAGTGAACCCACAGAATCCAATACACAAAAACTATTTCCAGTCTGATGTCTGATGTCCTGTCTGTCTGATGTATAAATGGGATGTGTACTAATTACATCTGGAGAGAGAAATGCCAGAGCTTTTGATTTCCTGTAAACTCATCATGCGAGTTCATAAATTTATAATTTTGGATGAAAGCAAAATTAAGTCACGTCACCCTTTCAGTACCAAAATGAAACACTGAGGACAAACAAATGAATAACCAGAGGAGACGCGGAGACATATTTATAAAACTTTTTTATTCATTTTTTAAATCGTAGTAGGCTAACTGAAATGTGTCCGATTCATACCATGTTCTGTGACAACAACGAACCATTGTCTTCTGTTTGTAACAAACAGAGAAGAAAAAAACAACATAACAAACCTTGCAACACGTAGACCATCCAATATAAATTTAAATAAACAGTTTTAATACACAAATAAGCAATTATTATCATTGAGAATAAGTAGGCCTCTATATAAGTATGTGAGCCATGCTGTGACAGATAACAGACTGGATTTTAAATGGGAACTCAACGTTTTTCTACATAAACAGACCAGGGTTCCTACATATTTTATCTGACATCTGGTCTTGACTGAATGTAAAGATTTCACAGATCTTCCAAAACCTGATCATTGTTTGTGTGTTATATTTTTCTGTACACAACCACAGCCTTTTATCATAGTTTTCTCAAAAGTGTAGACCAGCTGCATGTAGGAATCCTGACCAGAATAAACTGATCTATTGTACAAGTCCCACATTTAACATGCTTGCAGGATAAAACTTAACAACAAGTGGAAGAGTTCTACAATAGTCACCGCGGTGGACGAGCATCAGAACGCTGTCCTGTAAGATATGAATGATTTGTTGAATATGCACACTGCAACCAAAAGAGTGTTTACTTATATTTTCTTCATCATTGTCAGAGGAAAGGCGCCATGCTGCGCTGATTCAAAGAGCAGGGTGAGCAGTAAAGAACACAACGATGCAGAATGAGCAAAAACACAAAAGGGGAAAACAGTTTGTTTTACATTTTGCCTTCCTCCAGTCTGCTACAAGTACTAATGGTATAATTTCTTAATGAGTTATTCTTCTTCAAGATCTTCTTTCAAACAAGTACTCGTTAATGTTATTGTGTACCAAAAATACTTGTCTACAGGTGAAGGACAGTGTTACAGGATCTGCGAAAAGGAATTTGTAAAGTAAAGTGTTTGCCCAAAGATAATAAAAAATGAAAAAGTTCAAGTCAGGTGTAACACTTGTCTTGTTTTTCAGTGACAAGAGTCTCGTTTAGGATGATTCTTTCTTTGGAAATCTTTAATCTTCAGTCTTTAATGATGCTGTGGACAGAAAACTGGGCTGTAGTGTAGCTGAAAAACCATGTTTGTTCATTTCCCTGGCAGCCATGTTGGCTCCACTGTTGCATTCCATTAAATTATTAGGTCAAAGTTTCTTGTCACATTAAACTTAAGTTTAAAAAGTAAGATTGTATGATATGAAGTTCATGCTATGCTAAAAATACAACTTTAGCGGATATTCTAGATGTTAACGAAATTTCAGATTTTCCGACATCTCGGGAATGCAGCATGAGTAGGCTAACTAGTGAGCAAAATTTATATGTTGTAACATTCACCATCTATATACCCATTATTATGGAAGCACATATTTGCTAGGAAAAGGGGAAAAAATGATGAAAAGTAAGACTGATTTAAGTAAAAATACCTAAAATGACAAGACGTAGCATCATATTAAATATTTTTGAGGGACCACTCAGTAGGTGCCCTGGAGCTTTAAATGTATCACACAATCTTCTTCAGAGGATGGCGTTTGTAGTGGATGTTCACATTTACATTTTCTTCTGGGTGCATTAAGGACTTATCATCCTTGTTGACTTAAAGATTGAGACTAAAAGTTAATTCATTAAAAAATAAACTTTCAATTTCTGTGAACTGTTTTTGTCATTCCTCACATTTAATCAATTTTTTTCCTTTTCCTGCAGTGTATGTGCATCCAAACATCATGGCCGAATATTTTATAGATACTGCAATGCTTTCTGATAAGTGTCACAAGGCAACAGCATTGATGTAGCTGAGGGGTTCATTGCACTATAACGTGTCTTACAGGCAGACAGAAGTCTTTGTTGAACCCGGACGCCAGAAGGCACACATGTAGACGCTGGGCCGGGCGAGCAGAGGTCATGTTTAAGAATGTAGTGGGCAAATTGGTTTACCAGGACTTGATGTTTACATGCACAAAGAAGTATACTTGAACGTGTAAGTGCGTGAGCAAAATGTGCTTAAAAACGACCTCAGACCTGAATGAGGTGCACAAGACTATCTTAAAAATAAACTGTTCTCAAATGAAGAATGTAAAAATGTGGGGGATTCATCTTTTTCACCCCGTGACAAATCGCACCGTTTGCTCTTTAAACTGGAAAGGGCACTTAAAAGCTTAAGTACATTTTCTTGTATTTACACATCCTCCCAGAGATCTGCAGATTTTGTGTGTTAAGTAGTTTTACACTCTCAAAGTTGGTTTTACAAATGAAAAAAAGAAAAAAGTTGGATGGATTGAAGTAAAATGACCTTTTTTGTTCTCAAGTGAATAAACAACAATAATAACAACAACAACAAAAAAAACAACGTACATTTAGCACACTACGCTAAAATATGACTAATATTATCAAAAAGGCAAATAGTAGGTGTATTGCAACGCTCTCTGCGGCATCACTATCAAAAACATCTATCTTCATCATCCTCAATCATCATCCAATCATCATCATCATCTGAGACAGTAAGAAGGCGTGGCCTGGGATGATTGACAGCCCAAACTAACCGCTCACATTTTGCCCTTCTCAGCATAGGCAGGCACACTTGTACGACATAGCAACCACAATAAACAACGAACGTTTCAAAAGGAGAGCGAAAGACAGCCAGCCAATGCCAGCTAGGGCCAGTCTGAGAGGAGCTCTGTCATTGCACAGCAGGCATCTCTAGGGAACAGGAAGAACTCGGTCAGACAGGAAGAAGAAGGAAGGGGGAGGTAACTCTTGAGGCAATCCAGGTGTGTGTGTGTGTGTGTGTGTGTGTGTGTGTGTGTGATTGTTATTTTTGCTATCTTGTGTGGTCCACAATAAGAAAAAAAATGTATGTCGAGGAATGAAAGTGCACCTGTGTGTGTGGAAGGTCTAGTTCTTAATTTAGTTTGTTTAGTCTGCTCTGTGTGTGTGTGTGTGTGTGTTTAGTTTTTGTCTAGACAGCTGGAGGTCTTTCCCAGGGCAAGTCAGAGTACATTAACAGCTCTTTCTCTCTCTCTCTCTCTCTCTCTCTCTCTCACACACACACACACAAACTCTGGGAAAAGACATTGTCCGCTGACTTTACAAAAACACTCTGCTGTAACACTGGCTTAAAGCAGAGAGATATGTGTGACCACTTCAAACAGAAACTATTACTGGCTTGGACACATTTTAGCAGACAGTCCTGATTGCTTTCATTTGTGAATATATTAACTTCAACATAGGGGCATGTGATTATGTATCAAGAAAATCTATCCTGTGAACAGTGGTTCCCAGGATTTGAATTTTGAAAGAAAACACTAATTAGGTAGCTGGTTGACATTGGTTTAAATTGTCTGTCATAGCTTTCTGGAGCCACTACAAAAATTTATAGAAAACTGAAGGGTTGCAGAAAAGCAGAAGGTCAATGAAAGCTGGTGAATAACTACAACTGTGTTCACCTCTCTGCATGTAAACATACCAGTGTGAATGTGTGGGTAATGTGGTTATCAGCAGCGCTAGTAAAATGATTTCACCTGTGTGAGGAAATGTGTGATTTGAGCCTCAGAAGGAGTTTTTCCTCCTCTCCTCCTGTCTTTTTTTGTATTGTCAGCCAGCGCAGGTTTCCCTGAAGTAAAGATTGATCCTACATTGATCTCATTTTTTACTGTGACGCCCTGATCAAAGCCTGTCCAGCCTTTTCATACCCGCTGCAAACCCTCCATTGCAGGGAACCAAACCATTTCAAAAAGGAAACAGTCCAGGAAAGGGAAGCGAAGGGAAGGTCAATAGGACTTATAATCTCATTCTGAGGTCAAAGGTGATTCATACTTTGATTGATCCACTCATCACTTCTTTAGCTGCTTTGGGTCAAGTGTTAATTTCTTTATATGTTGTTTTTCTTAATATGTATTTAATTAAAATGACAGTGCAGCTCATGAACAAAGAAGAAAGAGAGACAGTAAACAAGACAAAGGGAAGGTGAACCGCAAATAAATTATTTTGATTATTTTTCACCTTTTTGTCTTTTTTGTATCGCAGAGAAACAGAAAATTTCCACTGTTCATCTGAGGAAGAGCCTGTTTTTCTAAATACCCCCCCAAAAAATGTAGAGGTTCATTGCTGTTTAGAATACACTCAGTCTAAGCATCTGTTTTCCTTTAAAAATCCCAGATGGTCGTTGCCACTTGCCACTCTGTTTTGAAGATACCGTATTTCCAGAATCCTCAAAGACTCCTCATAAAAATGATTTTGTCTGCTGCATAATAGAAAAGATTTTTAACTGTCACTTCTGGTTACCATCTTTGTTTGGATTAGGAAACAGAGTCGCAACATGGAAAACAAGTTAAAAATAATTTATTGTACAGCGGACTAAACATTTTTTTATCCAGATGGTTAGATGACTTTTTAAGAATTCTGGAAATAACTTCAAAACACTGGCACATGTTCTTAAAGGACCTTCTGGTCTTTTCCAAGATCACCAGGGATTTATCTTTCAGAAAACAGATGATTAGCTCCGAAACACCTGCGATTCATTTGAGAGGGAAAGAAAAGACATAGAATATGAGGATTATAAAATGATTTTTTTTGGCCATTTGACTCTCTCCTCTCCTCAGCTGACTCAGCTTCAGGAAATTTGGTTCAGTCCCTGTGGAGGGCGCTGTTGCATAAAGACTGGACCCTTAAGGGCACTAGCTTCATTTGGGCCAACCTGTGATACCCTCAATATAAATTCATAACAAAAGAGTGGAGGTCACACTGAACACTTTTCATACAAGCAGCAACTTAAAAGACAAAAATACAAACATCTACATATTCTAATATTCTACTTGAGGACACTAGTTTTTCCTTTATTTCTACACTCATTAAAAGATGACAAAAGACGAGTTGCTATTAACACTCGTGTCACTTTTCAACACTTCAACGTGTCTAGTTTGCAACAACCCATCTTGTGCTGCATTCATCGCACAAAGAGTTCTGCTCCAAAACAGAAATATCCACTATGGTTTAAAAAAAAAAAAAAAAAAAAACTTTTAAAAGGACACAAGTTCATTTGTTTTTTGGTAAGTTTTGTCAATTTTAGATTGTTTTTTATTTAGCCAATATTCTTAAACTGCTGCTTGTGTAAAAACTATTGAACATTTCATAAACTAAAAGGGATTTGTCTAAGAAGGGTTTTGTATAAAAATACATGTATATTTCTCAAATTTTGGTACTGATACTGAAACTCTAAATTTAAAACGATACCCAGCCCTAGTCATGACATTTACAGATCATATAGAATTCAGAACGATAAATCAACGAGTCCACGTAGTGCGGTTTTGATTTGTTTTCCACTTGAAGAATATTTAAAGTTTTGGAGCACATCTCTTTGCATCTTTTAAAAGTGTGGCCCTAAAGGGTGGGGAATCTAACCTAGAATATAAAAGGATTCTACCGTAGTTTTTAAGTTTTTTTTCGTGTGGCGGTGAGCCAAGGCCGGCGCTGGCTGACAGACGATTGTTGTCTCTTTCCTGGTGCAGTAAAGTGCTCAGAGATGCCTGCAGAGAGAGGGATGATTGCCAGAGGGGGGCTGTGTGTGTGTGTGTGTGTGTGTGTGTGTGTATATGTGTGTTGGGAAGTGAGAAGAAACGCAATTTTAAAAGAAATTTGCTGTGTGTGACCACAAATGTTGCTCTACCATCTGCATGTGTTGGCGTGTGAGGCCAAAGCAGTGCACAGTCAGTGTGTCCCTTATTCAGGGCCTGTAGGGCGACCTGGTTTCCTGCCTGAGTAGTGCTCTACAAAGGGGATGTTAGGTGTCACTGGATCTGCATTGTTTCTCTCTCTCTCTCTCTCTCTGACATTCAAATAAAATAACACACAGCAGGAAAGAAAACTCTGTTACATCCTACTCTACTTCACTCTACTCTACTGTTACATTACACATTGTCTTGATTAGTTCAGACATTTGTTCAATGCGACAAAGTCTGATTAACGTGAGCAAACTCGTATGTGCTTGGCTTGTTTGGTCGAGGTAAGGACTGCCAGCTTTGGGATTGGCTAATGATTCGGCCAATAGGATGAGAGAGTGAGAGAGCACTACAAGCAGAGTTTCTGATTGGGCCTACAGGTTGAATGCTGACTTGTGGTTGGCTTACAGGACTCAGACATTTGCATAAACAAGGGATTTATAATTTTTTATCAATGGTACAATAATGGTTGATCCGAGTCCATTGAACAAAAGTCAGAATCTCCCCTTGATGTGTTATCGGGATACTGGATGCTGTGCACTGAGCTGGCCCGACCCTCTGGTAAGTCCCTGTGGTTTCAGGTCTCTCTCGTTATACCTATGCCTCAATAGACAGAGCTCCTTCACAACAAAAAGTCTCTCTCACATGTTCCATCTGCGCATCCTAAAACATAGTGCAATTCTTTTCAGCAATTATATAAATAACTCTAAATTCGTGCTTTTTAAGTTCGCTCTCGGTTTGCATACATGTGTGTATATATACTCAATATGTAATGTATATACATGCCAACATGTATGTAGCAAAATGTTCAATGTGAAAGTTGGCACCCCAACAGATTACTGATGTTTGTTTCTTTTTCTAAAACTAGACAACATATAAAAACAGAAAAAAAAAACATTTTTACTCAAACAAATCTATCAAGTTTAGAAAAATATCCCTACTTTCTGTTTTCTCTCTTGTCAATCATATTGCAGATTTTTTTTCTTTTTCTGTGGTGAACAGTCAAAAACTTTGTGCAAACCTTCCTTAGAAAAAATAAAGTTAAAAAGGCTAAAACTAAACTAGACTGAAAAAAGGATTTTAGCAACAACTCCTGCACCGGTTGGTCGATATAAGGCAGAACGTTTAGCTCGAGGACTAGCACTGTGCTACAAGTGGTAAGCTAGATAACACTAACTATACTTGGATCTTTCTGGAAATATCCTAATGTGCTAACAGGTCCCAGTGAAACAGCTAAAGCCTCGTGCAGGAGTCACTACCAACGCTGGATTGTGCAGTCTTGAACGTGAAACAGAACTAAATGGAGTTGAAGCAGCGAGGGGGATTATCACTAGAAAACAAAACCTGGAAGAACCAAGAAGATTGCAACATTTCGCCATTTGCCTGGATAGAATTTCTTCTGCAAGTGCGAAAAAGACAAACAAAGACATAAAAAGTTCTATAGAAACAAACAGAACATGTAAATATTTATAATGAATGGAGACTAGTTAGATCAGTCTAGAGGAGGGGTGATCTGGAGGGAAGAAGGAGGCTTCTGTCTCCATCCTTCCCTTTCCACCTTCAGCCCTTCTTCTCTGACATCATCATCGGTTCATCTGAAGTGCTCCTCAAACAGGAAGTAAGAAGCTGTGGAGCAGGAAGTACCAGATTTTCTCCTGCAAATGTGCAGGTGTTCTTACCTAACGAGAAGCCAGCGTATGCTGCTTCCCAGTCCCGGCGCAATCCATGAAGTGGGGAAACTGAAACTGACCAAATGCCAGCAACAATTACAACCAACATGAACCAGCACTTAAACCTTTCAGAGTGGATTTTACCATTGACCAGTTTGTTCATCATTTTTACTGACCATTTCCCAAGTGGCGAGCAGATATAATCCTGGTTTTCCTGCAGGCTAATAATAATGAATCAGTACTGTCACACCTGTTGGGGCTTCTGGGATTTCTCCTTCGAATTCCTCGCATTCCTGTTGTCCACACTTCCTTGCTGCTGAGATGGAGGTCGGAGCAAACCGTGTATAAACGAGGACGGGGGTGTTTGTGAGGACGATACAGTCCGATGGTTGTGGCCGGGGGTCAAGGATGTCGGGTGGTAGTAGTGCCCAATCACCTCACTGTATGCTGGTGGAGCTCCTTCTACTCGAGAGCCCTGCTTCTGCTGCCGGGACAAGGACTCCTGGGCTTCTAGCACACTGAGGCCTGGATGGACACTCGGAGGAGGGGCCTGCAGACTGGGAGCAGAACAAGGGTCATAAATAAGACTGCAGAACAACAGGAACAAATCCAGCAAAAAACCTGTGAGGGTTACAAAGTCTGTACAACACTAATAGCCCATTTCCATTTCTATCACATGAATTTTCCCAGTAGCATTTTAGGAACGTTGGAACCATACTTGTGTTTTGACCAAAGGAATTCCTCAGCCATTATTCCTAGCCTCCGAAAAAATCCCTGCTCTGGGGGTAGTACTTTCTAATGGCCCTAGAACTATTGAGGTGGACGTTGTAGTTGCTGATTGACTTGCGGCTGGCAACTTCGTTTACACCATAAGCAAGAACTGATTTCAACTAGAATCTAAATCAGGATGAGGAACAGACATTTCCTGTCATGTTTACTGACTTTAAGAATAAGGTTATATGTAGTTCAGCCTCCCAATGATTGTATAAGGAGTGAGATAAAGACATAGTGTGTACAAACACAAGAAAACGTGAGTAAAGGAATAATTGTACGGGAAGGAAGATGCTGATTGAGAGAGATAGCATTCTTTGATATTTGATTCAATACAGTTTCGTACTAAAGCAGAAAATGTATCATTTAGAACATCCATCAGAGAAACAACATAAAATAAAAATAACAACACGATGACAATCCCAACCATCACCAACATTAAATAAAAAAAATAAGCCTAATCACAATTTTTCAGAAGCCACATATCATTGTAGATGTACCTTTCAGTCATGGTAGGTGGTAGCCGATTCAACTTGTCAGCAAAATGCAACTTAAACACTAGTCTGATTATCTTGAATGTTGTTTGAGTGTTCATTGTGTGTAAGGAAAGCACTGAATGGTTTAGGACCAACACACATTTCTAATCTCCTGTTACATTATGAACCATCCAGACCTCTCAGGTCGTCTGGGACAGGTCTGCTTTCTGTCCCCAGTGTAATAACTTACACTCCATTGTAACTTTTATTGTCCTGTTTTATCCTGTTTTTATTTTCTATTTATCTGTTTTCAAATTTTTATTTCATTGTCTTTTTTTATGTTTCCCTATGTTGCTTTTATGTTTTATGTAAAGGACTTTGAATTGCCTTGTTGTTGAAATGTGCTATACAAATAAACTTGCCTAGGAAATTATCAACATGAGAACAAGGAAGTAATTTCAAACACAACAATTGACTGACAGTTTGTATATTGTTACCTAGCCTGCAAACAGGAGCTGGACGGGTCGAGGGGGTGGGAGTCAAACACTGTTCGGTTGGGCGGTGCTCTGACCGACTCGCGGTTCAGCTCCATCTGTTGCTCCGGGTCTCGAAGCTGCAGGGTGCAGGGGCCCTGGTATGGCGGTGGCTCCTCCCCGTCTGAGAGACAGATAGTGGGGGGAAGATCGATGAGGCTCTGGGGCAGATAGGGATATGTCGGCTGGAAGCGACTCGGGGCATATGTGTGCTGGAAGCGCTGGGACTGGAGAGGGGGCTGGGACTGGGCGTGCTGAGGCTCCCGCTGTAGGTAGGACGAGGGGACCCCTCTGTCTGGAGGACGTGGGTTATACACCTGGTGCTGGGGTGAAGAATGACATTGAATTACTGCTGTGTCATCCTAAATAACAATAAACAGAGCTGTTAGTTCTTGTTTAATTTTGCTGACTTCTGTTTAAATTAACCTGCCGCGACTAAATGTTACTTCTTGGTTAAAGAAGAACTCACCTCATTCAAACCACTGTTTGTCCCGGTGCCCTCAGAAGACCACAGACCGCCCTCCTGAGAAAGAGAGAGAGAGTTTATCTATTGAGTAGTTTCAATTTGATTTAAACCTATTCAAAAAATGCAACACATCTTCAGTTCTACTGACATATCTGTCATCCATTTTTTGTGCTATGTCAAATAATACCTTTTTGTATTATTGTATTTCATGTCAATAAAGATGATTTAAATAAAACTGACAAAAGAGAAACAGAGAGTTGTAATATTATGCTGTTAAGTGTATAATATACACTACTGTTGATGCTTATTATAGAACTTAGTATTTCATTGCATCTTTTTGTTTTTATGTTGAATTATGACAGAAAACACATAACCAGACAATTTAAACTTCTTTCAAATACATTTTTACTTTGTGAAGTAAAACATATATTTTACAGGACTCATTTGTTTATATCTATGTCTTTCCAGCTGTTAGGGAAGCTGTAGCAATACAGTCGGACAAATTTCCACTTTTCTTTCCAGCTGTCTGTAGCTCTTATGTTTATGTTGCATGTTGCACTATGGGACAACTGAGTGCGTCAAAACCACATTTTGAAATCAAGCAGCTTTAGCGTGATATTGAAACTTTTAAGCCCGGTTCTTTGTGTTATTTTTTCAGAGTGAAAAATTACATAGAAAAATGTGTTTGTTGTTTGTTTGATTCCGTTTTTGTGCACTAGAGGGCTCCGCTGGTGTACAACAAACACCCACTGCTTTAGAACTTTTTTAAATGTCTCCATATTTTCATAAGGTATTGTCATTATGTGTCAGTGAATCTGCCAATGAAGCCTGCAGTCATCTTGGTAATACTGGAGAAATATGTATAACATTTCTCAAAATTTCACTCTATTCAATCTATTTTTTGTTTAATTCTTGTTCTTGTGCAAATCAACACACGCAGTTCTTAACTAACATTGTGTGGAAGAAACGTTTCCAACTTTTGTGCAAGTTTTTTGTTCTCTGGTGACAGTTTTCCTGTCTGCCTGTCTGACTGTATGTGTGGCAGTATGTCTGTCTGCTAATCCAAATTAACTAGGACAATGACTCCCCTGAGCTTATCAGGAGCACTCTGTGTGTGTGTGTGTGTGTGTGTGTGTGTGTGTGTGTGTGTGTGTGTGTGTGTGTGTGCGTGCGTGCACAAGTGTGCACAAGGGTGCTTCATCCTTTACTCATATCTAACTTGTAGAATAAAGCTACACACACACACACACACACACACACACAAAGTGATTCAGTAGCAGGTGATTCAGGGAGCACAAGTGAAGTCATATGTTTGTAAAAGCCTCAGGTGTAAGGCAGCGTGTGTGTGTTTCTTGAAATAGTCTTTGCTGGCCGCTGTTGCACTTATTGAAGAAATGAGTCAGTGTTTAGCATTAGCCTGCAGCAGTATTTAATCACTATGATCACATGCTGTCACTCAGGACTCCTCAAACTCTTATACTTCTGATTATATCGTTTATTAGGTAGGTAGGTAGGTAGGTAGATTTATTTTGTCACATTACAACAGGTTATAGAGTGAAATTGAGTTTCTGCCATGTAGCAGACAATATACATTAATATAGAAGCAATTATAAAAATAGTTAACAGAAATAAACTATATTTAATGGAGCAGTGCTGAGGATGAATTTGAGTTTAAGAGCCTGACAGCTGGGGAAAAAGCTTCTCTGCAGTCTGGTGGTGCAGCACTGAAACTTCTATATCTCTTCCCAGAATGCAGCAGGGTGAACAGACTGTGGCTGGGGGGGGGGGTACTGTCCTTTAATATCTTAAGGGATATTAAAAGATGGTAAACAAAATTAACTACTATCCTCACTGTGACTACTGAAACTATGGACTGCACAGCTCTTCTCCTTGTCCAGCACTGTAGGAAGTCTGTTGATTATGAATAAAGTTAACTTGTATGTTTCTTTAGCAATATTTCAGACAATTAACTAATTATGTTCGACAATTTTTAACACTAACTTTAATTAAAGCATTTTAAATTCTTAAATTCATAAGTTTTTGACTGAATATTTTTTGGCTCCTGTTTATTTTTAATGCTCTCCATTTTCTCCACATTTAAACATCCTGCTTTATTTAAGTGACACTTAAATATCTGCTATAAAAGCTTGTTGCATGCAGTAAAAATGTGACCCAAGTTTCTTACAGGATTTCATATATTTTCAGCTTAACTTCTAGCAGCTATTTCTTAGCCACCATTTTTTCTTTGACAAACCAAAGCTTCCAGCTATGACTGTGGCCACATTTACACTTTGGAAAATATGCTTAATAATCAGACCGCCATCTGGTCACACTTACTCACTCAAAGTTTAAAGCAGCGAATTGCAATATTAACACCCATAAAGTCATTAAGTCTTTTCTCTGCAATATGTTCTATCGTATTGCACTAGTGCTGGATACTGTCAAGACAGACTACACGTAAATGTAGTGTTTGACTTACGTTGGCCAATGGAAGGTGTCTCCGGCGTGTGGGGGCATGTCTGGAGAGGAGGGAGCGTGCTGATAGGCGGTAGTGGTTCAGCAGGCAGGTAATGACCACCACCATCACCATCATCACTACAACGATCACCAGGATCTGGATGAACTCCAGCTGGGCTACAACAACACAGAAACAAAGATCATCATATCAGTTTACTTGTCATGGTTAGTGCTACTCAGCCTGTGAAAACAGCTGTACAACGTCTTCTGTGGCAGGCTGTGGTTTTGTCAAGTCTGAGAAAATAACCCTGATGATGTCACTATGACATCAACAGGGTTATTTTAAGGTTATATCTGTATTTCCGATGGAAACTACAGATTTTAAACAGAAGCTTGCTACACATGTTGGGGCATGGTGATTGCAAAACATGGACATTTCCCAGTCTGCTGCATAATGGGAAGTGTAGGATACAGTGTTTTTCAAAATCTACTCACACTAGGGGCTAAAAGTCAGGATATTTAGGCCTCTGTTGCAAATGTCGCATGTGAAAAAGTAAATTCAAAGTACTGAATTTGTGGACAAAGTCATTTTCCAAGTGAAAATTATGTTTTCACATGTAAACTGTCCACTGTGGAACACACATTGTATGTGTGTATGTAGAGGTACCAGTACACTTTTGCTGTTTTTATGTTGGTATTTACACCCTGGTCCCGAGAGAAGCAGTATTCACTTCACGGTTTTATTTTATTATGGTGGTCATGACAAATAAACTTGAAGCAATATTGTCAAGTGGTGATATATGGTATATGTTGTGATGTGTTTTTGTGTTGTCAATCCAGCTGAGGTTACTTGACCTCACATTGATAATCAATTAATCAGTTAGTCTATAAAATATCAGCTCTCAGATCCAAATGATATTCCATTTAAAACGCTATAAAACCCAGAACAACAGTGGATCCTTGAAGAACCAGGCAATAATCACCGTTTTTGCTTAATTCATTAATATCATAATGAATTATCGATTTAAATAAAATAGCTTAATTAATTATAAACGTTTTACACATTATTCCACAGTTTACTAATAAAGTAGCGTCTAATCGTAAATGCATATAAAGTGTCAAGTGTCAATACAGCAATGAGGTTGTTTTGTATGAGTGTATGAGAGAAAAAAGGTTCTCAGACACAGTCCAGACAAAGATGTAGTCCTTCTGTAGAGGTCAGGATGTCTCACACCCACACACACACACACACACACACACACACACACACACACACACACACACACACACACACACACAGCCAGACTAGACCAGACAGACAGACAGGGCTAGCTTTGTTTAAAGACAGCCTGCTCTACTCCCCCACCCCCGACTCCATCCACCAACACCCCCACCACACACACACACACACACACACACACACAAACGAAGCATTTTTCTCACACTTTTTTTACAGGGAGCAGGCAGAGGTCAGAGCCAAGTCAGACAGGCAAAAACACACACACACACACACACACATTGCAGACTGGTTTCCAGACAGTTCACACCAGTTCTCACATCCTCGTTATGTTCTTCTGAACAGCTAACCATTACACAACATGAAGAGACACACACTCAGGTGACCTTATAACTCATTCATAACCTTTTCTATTTTCAACCCTGCATTTATCATTCTCAAACCTGTATTTAACCTTTTTAGTTCCCCTAAAACCTAAAATCACTATTAAAACAAGAGGCTGACTTCACAACACTACCGACCAGGTGACAGACACACTGCACATTACACACATTAGATCAATAAAAACAGTCACATATTACCCTATAACCCACACATGCAGCGGGAACAACCCTAAAATACTGTTTTCCTGTATAGTAACCTTAATACACTCCATGAAACCAAACCAGGTCTAGGTACTTCAGTTCCAATAAAGTTTTCAAAAAGGCCTTTATTCACGTTCCTGTTTAACCAGCTTTTGTTTCGATTGCTACTGTTTCACCTGTTTCAACAGCCAACTTCAAAATGATGCCTGGTTAGAAGCTACCTTCACTGTTTCATCATCTAATTCAAGATTGAGACAACTCTTGATTCGTTACAGTGAATAGAAACCTGACTTTAAGAACAGAACCAGATTTCAAAACATGGTTATCAATCTCAACAGTCAACATCTAGAAGTTTTACAGTACTCAAGGCTACGTGTCAGCGATTGGGATAGAATTTGCTATTTATTGCACTAAATATTGGGAGTTTATAAGTAATGTAAGCTTTTTTAATAGCAATAAGTCATTTCCTTATAGTTGTACATCAGTTATAAGCTATTCATAATAACATTTAGATTGCCGGGTTTGAACAATCTCTGTTGCTAGTGTTTATCCTCCTCTGGCACAACACTTGCATTGTGGTTTTAGCTAGTTTAGTTAACTTCTGGAGAAGGGCTGCTGCAGAGAATGTGCTCCAAAATCCATTTATTAACAACTTAAATATTTACAACTGTAGACTTGATGACTTATTAGCAAGTGAGAAACTAATGAGTGCCAACACTACCTGGCAACCCAAAAGTTGTTCCTTTAAATCATCCCAGTTTACCAAAGCCTGAAAAGATGCCTTTAAATTGCTTATTTTGTCTGACCAGTTGTCTAAACGTCACAGAATATCAATTTATAGAGACACAAATGAGACAGAAGCAGCAAATGTCACATTTAAGAATCTGAAACCAGTGCATATTTGGCAATTTTGCTTAATAACTTCATTTTCTGTCAGTCAACTAATCGATTCAACTCCACTGCCCTAAACAATATAAATTTTAAAGAAAAAAATTAATCAACTTGAGGAGTATTGTCCTCCCAACTCAAGCCAAAAACTATATTGGTCCAGAGTGACTAAAACACATCAACAAAGAGAAGGGCCAAAAAGGGCCAAATGATTAAAGATATATTTTCTTTTCTGTTAGAGATGAGAAACTCACCGCACAGTTGCGTCTGAACACAGTTTTCATGGCTGTGACTCCCTGACGAAGGCTGCATAGTCTCCTCACAGTACAAGATCTTTACTCAGACCAAGACTTTCTCTCATAGATAACCTGGTGATAACCTTTCACCAAGTTAACAAGCTCAAACTAAACCAAAACAACAAAAGTAAAAGAAACTAAAACAAATCTTCCCGCTGCAGCCAAACTCCAAACTACATGTCCTGTGGATGTTCTGACACCATGTGTGTCCTCACTGGCTGACACACACACTCTGAGGCTCGACCAAGCTTTGTCTGCAACTTTTTCTCACACATACATTCCCACACTGTCCAGACAAACACACACTGAGGAAACAGCTGACTGGACCCCCTCCTGCCCCACCACCACCACCCAATAGCTGTGAACAAAAGGGGTCAATGTGAGGGAGGGGGCGGGGGAGGGGGCACAGAGAGAGGGGAGAGAAAAAGAGGGGGGGGTGGTGGGAGCGTCTGGGAGACACAGATGGGTCAGAGGGACGGACAGAATAATGATGAGAGAGAGAGAGACAGGGTGGAGGGGGCAGAGTCTGAAGTTTCAACTTCACTACTCATTAGCATATCTGAAAAATCTGGGGATTTAAAGCAATGAACTGATGTGCTGTAAACTTATCTGCTCAATATTTACATCAATGACATCCTCCAACGTGTCGGCAGCAAAACGTCATGCTAACACCACAGCATACACTATGTTCAGTTTTAATATGGCCCCCAGCAAGTGAATTACCATCTGTAGTAGGGCTAAACAATTAATTAATTCATTAGTTCATTACTATTATCGAAATCACAATATGGCAAGGTGCAATATCCAAATCGCAGGAGCTTTTTTTGATAAAGGTAAAATGTGTCACAACATACTATTATAAATGGTAAAGTGTGGTGCTACAGTGATGCCTGGCATGTACATCATATTCTCCAGTTGTAAGGGAACATCCTTATCGGTGGTACAGAACCCATCATAAATCGAATCATCCACTCCATAATTGCATTATGTGTCAAAATAATTGCGATCTGATTTTTTTTAAATGTGTGAGGTCTTGTCATGGCATGTACTAAGTAGGTCATATTTTACAGGAAATATGATTTAAAATGATTAAAAGGATACTCCACTGAAAATCTATCTTTTGAGTGTTTGGATAATCTGCTTCTCTGCTTTAAAAATACTGCCAGTCAGTTGCTAAATATGGTTTGGATTGTGACATGGAAGTAGCGTGTTTGTTATGTTGTGGAGAAATTATGAGAGACTGGAAGATACTGAACACACGGATCACAGTTTGAGATGTTTCTATTGGCATTTTGATTGGCTTTTGACATCGAGCCTCCAGAGCTGCTGTGAATTCAAGTTGACTACAGCTGCTGTCCTCTGTGAAAAAGCAAGCTATAAACCTTTCAGAGCCACCTCACAAGTACCTCAAACTCTAACTCAAAAGTTAGACTTTCAGTGGAGTCTTCTTTAATGTAAACTGCATGAGCAGGGACTATTTTACATTGTTTCTCTGACATTATTATTTGGTGGGAAACCAAGATAAGAACTTGGTTTCCCATAGAAAACGTTTCTGACTCACACACACTGACTATGGTCTCAGTCACATAGTCCTGCTTCTACTTTTACACTTCCTCTTTTACACTGCCACTTTACATTTTTTAATAAATGATGTAAATATTAAATATTTAAATAATTAAAAAAATAAATGTAAATCTTCTTCATTATATTTACTGCTATAGGAAAACAGAGGGAAAGGATGAAGTGAAGAAAACAAGGAGGAAAAGAAAGACGGGAGCCAAGAGGGGAACACAAGACAGAACACAAACACACACACAAAAGAAACATAAACACGCAGACTAAAGTTATGAAATGTAAACAGTCGCATTCCTCTGCTTATTAAAGAGAACTGTTATCATTGTAAAAGGAACAGACGCTTAAACACACTGTGATGCCAGCCTCACCATCTGTGTGAAGCCACCCAGACCTCCACTACGTGCGTGTTTGAGTGTGGGAGGGGGAGCTTGTTTTATTTCGTGGGGTTTGGGTTCCACTATACTTGTGGGGTCCGACAGCTTTGTGGGCACCAAAATGCTGGACCCACACTGCCTGCTGACAGCTTGTCTGTCTCTCTGTTCTGTTAGCTGGTCCTGAACTCCAACTTTCAGCCAAAACACTCACACAACACAACTC